TTCCCCATTTGCGTGTGAATATATGTATGTGTATACGTGGATACACACACACATACATATTATGTATGTATAACATATGTATATTATGTAATATATGCATGTGATATGTATATATAAATAACATATACATATTAATATGTATGTCCCATTTGTGTGAATTCAGATATGTAATATATATGTAAGACATATTATATAAATATATGTAGGTATATATATGAATGTGTGTATATTTGTATAAAAGTAATATATATATTACACATGTATATTATGTGTACATACTATGAATATGTTCCTATGAATCTCAGGAAGCTTTACCCATTTATCAAGATGACCCTGGAAATTAATTAACATGTTAAAATATACTAGGTATTTATGTTCCTTATGAAGCTACACTACCATATATATTCATCCAAAATTTTTAAAATTTTTTTTAAATTTTTTTTAATGTTTTATTTATTTCTAGGAGAGAGAGAGACAGCGTGAGCAGGGGAGGGTCAGAGAGAGAGGGAGTCACAGACTGAAACAGGCTCCAGGCTCTGAGCTGGCAGTCAGCACAGAGCCCGACGCGGGGCTCGAACCCACGAACCGCGAGATCATGACCTAAGCGAAAGTCGGACGCTTAACCGACTAAGCCACCCAGGCGCCCCTTAAATTTTTTATTTATTTTTGAGATAGTGCCAGCAGGGGAGGGGCAGTGAGGGGGGGGAAGAGGACTCAAAGCAGGCTCCTCGCTGCCAGCGCCGAGCCCGACGCGGGGCTCCAACTCACGAGCTGTGAGACCATGACCTGCACCAAAGCCGGACGCTCAACCGATTAAGCCACCCACGTGCCCCTTAATCTCAATGTTTAATTCTTAGTCATCGCCAACCTTGTGGGAACTGCTGGTAACCTTTTTGTTTGGTCTAAATTTGATTCATTTCTTTTCTTCCAAAAACTGCCATATGACGCCAAAGTCAATGAAATGCATTCTGGAATCGGGGATGATTCCGGGAGATCGTATGAAAAACCTAGAGAGGAGAATGTGACAGAGGCAGGCCCAGGCATCCTAGTGAGGACCACCTCATGCTTCTTAGGTTGCATGCTGTCCACTGGTCTCAGACAGCCCTCCATGCAGCCCCCACGCCATGTCCTTGTGCCAGAGAACAGATGGCCTTTCCAGAAGAAGCTAAGGCCCTCCTCATGGAGCGCTGTTGCAGGAAGAAACAGAGCAGCCAGGCATTGGAATGCCTGGCCCGGGCCAGCAGTGGTCTCCTCTGCTTCCCTTTTGCTAGAAAGGCTCCACACCCACTGGGTGTCCAGCCTGTCGGGAGCCAGGATGGACCTGTGAGTTTTTCTTTGAACCCGAAGACCAGAGTTTCTGCTGAATTTGATTATTAATTAGCAGTGCCATCCGGGGCACATCACTCTCCTTCTCTGAATCTCACTTCCTCTTTGTAATTAAGGAATTGGGACTAAATTATCTCAGTTCTTTTCAGCCCTACTGTTCTATTCTAACTTTCTAAGTTGCCCTTCATAGATGCGGAAAGGCTACCGATCACTCGAGTCTCACATCTATGTGTAAAAGTGTGGACCAGTCTAATTACAGTGTCTTTTGTACCGGACACAAAATTAGGATTTTGGGAGGTGCTAAAAGTGGATTTAACAGTAGTGGGTACTAGGAAAAAGGAAGATCTTGAAGCTTAATATCCCTCTACTGAAGATCTTAAATGAAGAAAAAAGAACCAGGAGGGCCATTACCAGATAACTTACCTCACCTTTTTTGTTAAAAATATTTTGTTAATGTTTATTTATTTTTGAGAGAGAGGCAGACAAAGTACGAACAGAATCCAAAACAGGCTCCAGGCTCTGAGATGTCAGCACAGAACCAGTCACGGGGCTCAAACCCACAAACTGTTGATCATGACCTGAGCCAAAGTCGAACACTTAACCGACTGAGCCACCCATGCATCCCACTCACCTCACTTTTGAGAGTTCTAGTAGCAACAGAGGCTACTGTGACCTTGCCTTCCTGGCGCACTGTCTGATTGTTAGGACAGGCATATAAGAACATCTGGAGAGTGTTTGGCTGGCTCAGTCAGTGGAGCATGCGACTCTTAACTCTAGGTTATAAGTTTGAGCCCCATGTTGTCTGTAGAGATTACTTTAAAAAAATGAAATCTTCGGAGTGCCTGGGTGGCTCAGTCGGTTAAGCGTCCAACTCTTGATTTTGGCTCAGGTCATGATCTCATGGTTCGTGAGCCCCATATCAGTCTCTGGGCTAACAGCATGGAACCTGCTTGTGATTCTGTCTCTGCCCCTCCCCTGCTTGCTTGCTTTCTACCTCTCTCTCAAAAATAAATAAAAATAAGCTTTAAAAAAATGAAATCTTAAAAAAAACTTCTGGAAGAGCCTCAGAGGGATGGGTTATGGCAGACACTCATTCCTGGATTTATAGATTTACATTTGACGAGTTAAGCTGTGTGCTCGCCTGCTCTCCTTGAATCCCAGAAAAAGACAAAATTTATGAAATAAAAGGTAAAAAAAATCACTGATAAATAAAATTAATTACCACAGGGCGCCTGGGTGGCTCAGTCAGTTGAGCATCTGACTTCACCTCAGGTCATGATCTCATAGTTCGTGGGTTTGAGCCCCGCGTCGGGCTCTGTGCTCACACCTCAGAGCCTGGAGCCTGCTTCCGATTCTGTGTCTCCCTCTCTCTGCCCCTCCCCTGCTTATGTGTGCTCTCTCTCCCTCTCTCTCAAAAGTAAATACATTTTTAAAAAATTTAATTTAATTTAATTATCACAATGAATTTTTTTAAATTACCATAATGAATTTTGATCAAGTTCCTACAGGGTTTACTTTGCTCAAGTGAGAGATCTCCAGGGTAATCCTGTCTCTTTTCCCTGTCCACTGGGAAGACTTTGTATCTGAAAGTGACATGTAATTAAGTGCACGATCATAGGCTTGTCCCACTCTGCCAAGGAGAAGAGGAAAGCCATCATCGTTGTCTCAGGGAATTCTCTCTGTGTGTCCTCTGCGTTCTCTTCAGAGCGCTCAGCTCACTTCATGGAATCTTCCATCTCCCAGGCCTTGGGTTGAGAAAACAACCATTCTCTCACCAAGGTGAAAAACAAGGCAAGAGGTTTTGCCTAATAAAAGAATAGTCAGCATGACAAACCAAAGCAACTGAAAATTTACTAACTGAAATTTACTAACTAGTGTTTCAAAGAGAACCTTAAACAAAAAGCAGCATCATTTTGTTGATTTAAACTAATTACTGGCAATTTTGCTTGGCACTAACCACACTAAAAAGGAGGGGGGGAGGAGAGGAGGGGGGAGGAAGGGACTTATCCAAGTTATTACTGCTAATATCTTTGTTACCTGGTGTAGAAGTACTAGCTATCCCCACTATCTGTTTTACCCATCTTCTTAATGTTTACTTATTTTTGATAGAAAGAGAGAGACACAGAGCAAGAGCAGGGGAGGGGCAGAGAAAGAGGCAGACACAGAACTGAAGCAGGCTCCAGGCTCTGAGCTGTCAGCACAGAGCCCGACGTGGGGCTCGAACTCATGAACCGTGAGATCATGACCTGAGCCAATGTTGGACACAACCAACTGAGCCACCCAGGCGCCCCTGTTTTATCCATCTTCTTTAAGAAGAGTCAGCCTGTGGGCCAAATCCAGCCATCCACATGCTCTCATAAATAAGGTGTCATTAGATCACAGCCACACGTGTTCCTACATGTATCATTTACAGCTGATTTCACACAACAGCAGAGTTAAGTAGTTTGAAACAGAGGCCATGGGCTCAGAAAGCCTAAAATTAAAAAAAAATTTTTTGTTAAAAAAGTTTTGTTTAATCTTTTTATTTTATTTTTGGAGACAGAGAGAGAGAGAGAGAATGAGCAGGGGAAGGGCAGAGAGAGTGGGAGACACAGAATCCGAAGCTGGCTCCAGGCTCTGAGCTGTTAACACAGAGCCGGATATGGGGCTCAAACTCACAAATGGGGAAATCATGACCTGAACTGAAGTCAGACACATAACCAACTGAGCCACCCAGTTTCTAAAATATTTCCTATCTGGCCCTTTACAGAAACAGTTTGCCAACCCTTGCTCTGTATTAATAGAACATGCAATTCTAAGCTACATGCATGGCTGCCTGGAAAGAGACATCATCTCCCCACCTGCTAGCGATGATGTCATGTGGCTAAGAGTTGCCAGTAAGATATAAGAGGAAGTTGGCTACAACTTTAACTTGAACCATGAGATTAGCCTGAGCACAGAGGCCACGCACAGCAGAGCAGTGAAGGGGGAAGGGCCCGGTCCTGACACCGTGGAGCGCCCTTCTAGCCGGACGTATATATTCTGCCCCGATTTCTAGACGAGAGGGAAATACAGTCTTCATTTGGATTTTTGTGTGTCTCACCACTAAATTCACTGATAATCTATTGGGGTATGCCCATTTTTAACATAAAATGTAGCTACAGCTAAAAAGATTTTTAAAATTTATCTCCCTCGAACAAAAACACACGAATCTGCGTTCAAATCAAAGACGAGATGTTACTAGAACCTCTTAAGAGGATTTCAAATAAATGACCTCCAAGCCATTAGAATAGCATCATCATGGAGAGATGGATGTGCTCCTTATTTGTATCTGAAGCTTTATTTTTATAAGCTATAATTTCTCCGTTTATCATCCTCATCCTTAACTGGGTGTGGACAGGATGTTATTTCTAGTAATTACAATAACTATTAAAACTGTCACACCCTAAATAATTGAGAAGTGTCAAAACCAAAATGAGTGTCTTCCTACTGTGTCATCACAAATTAAGAGGCATTTGTTGGGGAAATCAGGGACAGATTGGCTAAAATTCGACTTTTCCCTCACGTTTCCCTCACGCTACTGTTTGCCTTTTGCCTTCATTGTTAAGTGGTAAAACAGTTCCATTACAACAGGCAAGCAACCTGTGTCTGGTGACACAGCAGGTGTGGGGCACAAGTTTTAACAAAATGCCTTTTTATTAACTTAATTAGCACCTGGCCTCACAGGCCCCTGATGGAAGAGTTAGAAGCTACAGTATGAATCGTACAGAAGCTTCCCCCCACGCAGCAAACTTGGCTCAGGCTCTCCCTCTCCTCCGTCTTCTTTCAGAGTGAAGTCGTCTCTTGTCGTTTATTCCCGTTTTCACCTCTTAGCACTTTCTCCTGGGTTAAAAACAAAAAAAGAACAGCTGAGCCTTTCTAGGCTGTGGTAATTTATCCAAGCATTTTGTTTTCTTTGGTGAGAAAAGATTTGAGAATCCTAGAACAAATACTCCCTGCTGTGTGTTTAAGATACAGTCATAGAATTGGGGATAGTGGAAGACACTACTGAAATCATTTCACTTCGGTATCTTAACCTGGAAAAAGAAACTGAGGCCCAGAGAAGTGAGATGTTTTGTCCACAACTGTGGAAAATTCTGACTTGGAAAACAAACCGGTTGATTTCTAATCCAGGGTTCTTTCCACAAACTGGGTGTGTTCTTTTAGTCTCGAGTCTTAGAAAATGTTGAGGAAGTGTGACACTGAACTTGGCTAGGTTTGTGTAATGGGTTTGCACAGCCCGAGAATATGGACCTCCTCCTTTTGGAGCACGTGGATGGCATTAGGATACCACGAAGTATGGTCATTAATAAGTGGACTTTGCAATTCACAAATGTAACTTTCAAAAATTCAGCCATTAGAAGGGCTGTTTATTTTAGTCTATATATCCAGTGATTTTGCTACACAGGAATTTGAATCAGAAAAATCTCTTAGGGGCAAGCCTGCAGACAACTCTAAACATCTACCCTGCGGTACACAATGGCTTTGTTATTCTCTTATTATATCCACCCTAAAGTGATTTTTTTTTAATGTTTATTTATTTTTGAGAGTGAGAGAGGCAGAGAATCCCAAGCAGGCTCTGCGCTGTCAGCACAGAGCCTGATGCAAGGCTTGAACTCACCAACCACGAGATCATGACCTGAGTCGAGATCAAGAGTGGGACGCTTAACCGACTGAGCCCCCCAGGGCGCCCCAGCCCTAAAGTGATTTTTAAAAAGTACTTTTATTGTGGAAATTTGCTTCCTAAAGCAATAGAAAGTCCGTTTGCACTGACCCAGGCCAAAATAGGGGAGAAATAATGAACTCTTGCAACTGAAAAGTCTAGGCTACCATAGCTCTGGACAAGGCTAGATTTTGATGTTCAATGATGTCATTAAGACGCGGTTTCCATCTTTCTACTTTGCTTCCTTCTGTGTTGGCTTCCTTCTCAGCGTCTCCGTGATGACAAGCAGACTATCACCTGCTCCTAACTTACATACTACTAACTTAGTGACACCCAAGGAACAGTTCCTGCACGCAGATCAGAGTATGTCCCCATTCCTGGGGCCAGAGCACATGGTCACACTACTTGAGCCATGTGAACCGAGCTGGGCCCAGTTGGGAACACCCAGTGCTGTGCCAGTAAATATTTGACAACCAGTTCTGGGAGCGGGGAATAGAGTCCTCATTTGGAAAGTCGGCCAATTTCCACGGTAGACCTCAAGCTCTCCCAAGGTGGTCCCAGAGCACCGAGTTGGGAAGAGATGCGCAAAGCACCCATTACGTAATATTTCTACTGTACGGACAAATAAACATAAATAACCTGAAGATCAACAATAATAAAATGTAGTTAATTAGTAAATCATGAGTTTTGAGGATGTGCTGCCTTTGTTTTAAATATAATGTATTTAATTTCAATTGTATGGAATTTAATGTTACATAATGGCTGTGTCTGACCATGAGCTGGCCAGGTTCCTGACAGTTTAATAGTTGGCTCTCCTGAGCTAGTAGGAGCCAGCTGTAGCATACCAGGGGCGAATGCTTCACAGGGAGAGGTCATCTGTTATCAGAATTGGGGAGAATGGATGCTGAGTAGGCCAAGGCAATAAATGTCTCCTCTAAGTGAGAGGGAAGATTTCAGTGCACATTGAAAACTGGTTCTATTGTAGCAGAGAACATGCAAAAGAAGAGTTTTGTTCTTGCCAAAAATGTATTTTGAGAGGGAATCTTGGAGAATTAGGAGACACATAAATTGTGTGTGTGTGTGTGTGTGTGTGTGTGTGTGTGTGTGTGTATCCCCTATGGTACCAGGAGGTAAAGCTTCTGAGCACTTCTGTAGCCTCGGTCCTAAGGGTGTGTAGTTTGGAACAGGACAGCCCTGGGGACATCGGGAAGACCCCAAGGAGTTTCAGGGATGGAGGCTGAAGAAAGGGCTTCTCAGTATATTGCTCCTACCCAGGACCTCCGTAAAACTGGTATTGATAATGAAAATTGAACGCAGGAAAGTCCTTTGTAAACTGATGCAAGTCTAGACTGTGATTTTTTTAAATGTTTATTTGTTTTTGAGAGACACAGAGAGACAGAGCATGAGCAGGGGAGGGGTAGAGAGCGAGACACAGAATCCAAAGCAGGCTCCAGGCTCCAAGCTGTCAGCACAGAGCCTGATGCAAGGGCTCAGTCTTACAAACCATGAGATCATGATCAGAGCTGAAGTCAGCCACTCAATGCACTGAGCAATCTGGGCATCCCTAGACTGTAATTTTTTTGAAAGGACTGAAGTTGCATTTCCATCCACATGGCAAGCATCCTTCAGAAAGCCTGTTCTCACTTCCCCAGAGCACATGGATATTTCCCTCTTGAACCTTTGCCATACTTCATCACGACACCATGTACATCCACTGTGATTATATACTCTCTCATTTTGTTATAAAAATATTCGTGGGAGAGAGCTTTATCTTACCAAACACATTATTGCCACATTAATGTTTATGTTTTTTATCCCCAGCAATGCTCAGCATAGTATTAAGCACATAGAATGTGTTTAATGAAAGTATAGATATGAAAACTGATGTAGAGTGGCAAATTGCCAGCTACTAAAAGAACTTGTTTATTTATTTTTAATGTTTATTTATTTTTGAGAGAGAGCATGAATACAGGAGGAACAGAGACAGAGATACAGAATCCAAAGCAGACTCCAGGCTCTGAGCTGTCAGCACAAAGCCTGATGCAGGGCTCAAACTCACGAACTGCAAGATCATGACTGGAGCCGAAGTCAGACACTTAACCGACTGAGCCACTGAGGTGCCCCTCAACGAACTTGTCTGTTATTTTTTTTTTTAATTTTTTAAATGTTTTATTTATTTCTGAGAGACAGAGAAAGACAGCGTGAGCAGGGGAGGGTCAGAGAGAGAGGGAGACACAGAATCTGAAGGCTCCTCCAGGCTCTGAGCTAGCTGTCAGCACAGAGCCCAGCATGGGCCTCAAACCCATGAGCCGTGAGATCATGACCTGAGCCAAAGTCAGATGCCCAACTGACAGAGCCACCCAGCCGCCCCTTCAAAGACTTTGTTTTATGAAAAGATGATGGTGTATGGGGTGCCTGGGTGGCTCCGTCAGTTGAGCCTCTGACTTTGGCTCAGGTCATGATCTCATGGCTCACGAATTCAAGCCCTGAGTCAGGCTCTGTGCTGACAGCTCAGAGCCTGGAGCCTGTTTCGGATTCTGTGTTTCCCTCTCTCTCTGCCCCTCCCCAGCTTGTACTCTTTCTCTCTCTCTCTCTCTCTCTCAAAAATAAATGAAACATTTAAAAAAATATAGGAAAAGACAATGGTGATTTGATAACCAGGATAGTAGGATGTGTATAAATAGTGCTTCTGAGCCCTTCAGGGTGACCAGAAATTGTTTCTACACTTGAAAATTTATCAAAAATGCTGACTTGATTTTCACAAAGATGGCATCTTGGTAAAATGCAACTTGGGCCCTCTGCAAATTAATCAGGTCCAAAAGATGAGATTGTCCTGTAAATAAAATTCACAGTGACAATTGTCTCTCAGCCAGTCCTATAAGCTCACTGTCCACAGTATGAACGTTGGCCAAACTTGATACATTCACAGAATTTTGTACAGGTAACTTCCAATGAGATGGACTCAGTGAGCCAATGCCTTATGTTGATCATTGGAAGAGAAATTACTGGAGCCTAAGGTGGCACCTTAATTCCAGAGGGAATTTTCAAGTTGAATGTGGGGATCGATGTTGATGTGGTTGACACCATTTTACTTACCTTTAGAGGCAAAGTCATTTTTCTGGTAAGAAAATTGAGACAATGATCATTTAATCACCTTAATTGTTCACACTACATATTAGGAAAGTTGTAGAGTTTTAAATGCTCTAATTATAGTGTCTTATTCAGCCTTCAGCTCTTCCCCAGACACTGCCCCGCCCCTCACTAAAATCTCTTCTTAGAAAAATTATGCTGTTCAGCTTCTGGTTGGAGTTTCCTAGTTTAAAGGAGATTTATACCATAGATCTGAAGGCCTCTTCTTTTGATTTTTATTTCTCAGTCTCGTTGGGCCAGCTGCCTTCAACAGATGGAAATGTGGTCCCTTTTGAAGGCGGCATCTGTTCTCGTACCTGCTGGCATCATTTCTTCCCATTTCGTGTGGAATCACATACGTTTTTGCCTATGGCCTGCTCTAGCCACACTTCAAATTGTACCTAAATTTAATTTTAATTCCAAACACAATCTCTCAGAGCAGCAAATAAAAACAAGTAATTAGAAGTTTGCAAGTTTTCAATTTGACAACAATCTGAAGAAACAGAAAAACGGTGTAAATGTGGGACTTAAGAAAGGATATGTGAAACTCACAAATGTTGCTAAACCTGTGCGCGCGCACACACACACACTCACATTGGGAAAACATTTTATTATTAATCCTTAGTCAAATTCCAAAGGACATAGACAATGCAGTCTTGCGCAGTTGACTTTCCAAAAGAGTTCAACAGCGATGTCTTTAAGAGTCAAAACTTTAGGGCTACCTGGGTGGCTCGGTCAGTTAAGTTTGACTCTTGATTTTGGCTCAGGTCATGATCTCACTAGTGAGAAGGATACAGCATCCCAGTTTTATGGCTTCGAGACCCGCCATCGGGCCCTGCACTGACAGTGCGGAGCCTGCTTGGGATTCTACCTCTACCTCCCTCTCTCTGTCCCTCCCCCACTCACACTGTCTCTGTCTCTGTCAAAACAAATAAATACAAACCTTGAAAAATTTTTTAATTAAAAAAAGAAAACTTTAAAATCATAACAACTCTCCTTTCAATGCTTTGTAGTTTTGTATTACATTCAATTTACAAATATAATTTCATCCACGTCTTAATGACTTACCAGCATCCCTACAGACATTCATCACCGTGCTCCGCTGTTGTGACAGATAGTGGGTCCAGGACAAAAATAAGTCTTATTCATCTCCATTCGGTACCACAAACATTTGTGTGTTTGCCCTCTCCGCGCCAGAAATGATGCTGGGTCCTAAGAATAGAGATGAACAAACCCTGGGTGCTGTTTCCAGCACTGCTCCTTCCCACTCAAGGAAAAATGAGAGGGCAGGAGACACACAATGAGTGGTCACGGATGACTGGCCTTGGGGGTGAGCAGGACCCAGATCGTGAGGGAGTTTGAGATTGGAGGGTAGGAAGCCTGGAGAAGGCAGGTGGAAAAGTGGAGGACACAATGAGATGAGGGTGGAGAAGTCTGCTCTGGTCCAAACAAGAAATAAGACAGCCCAAGCCGGGGCAGTAACAGCTCAAAGAGAGAAACCCCCCAGGATCTGGTGTCTGCCTTCGTGGTGGAAAGAGGAGAATCTAGGATGATGCCTAAGTCTCTTGCTGAGGTACCTGGGAGACGATGCTGTTTGCCCAAGTGGGAAATTCAGAGGGAATGGGCTTGAGAAGGAAAGACTCTGAGTTTGACTTTTCATTCATTTCTTCAACAAATATGTATTTGTCACCTAGTGCGTGCCCATCACTGGGTTGGCACTGTGGGTCCAATGGTGAGCAAAACAAGACGTGATCATGGGCTCTTCTTCAAAGGTATCTCATCGTTCTTGGATTAAACACCAAACCCTTTCCTGGGCCTGTAAGCAGGGAGCATATCAAAAGTCATCCAAACATTTAACAAGTGATACTACACACATAACAGTCATCAGAACAGACGCCAGCATTTTAAGAATCTGCATTTCCTGCCCCCTTATGCCAGGCATTACCCTCCTGGTTACTGGATCCTGGGGAAGTCCAAAAGAGGGGCAGGGCAGCTGGGCTCACGGAGGGGGTGGGGGAGTGCTGGAGTAGCCCAGTGTAGCAGCTATATTTATCAACTGTGCAGAAGCATGTTACTGTCTTAATGACAGCATGGCCATATTGGTGCAGATTGGCTGACCATCGGGCCTGCTTCCAAGGCCTTCTGTGGTCTGGCGAACCTCCACTTCTCTGGCTTTGTCTCCTGCTCTCGCTGTTCTAGCCACATCGGTCTTCTCTGAGTGCCTTGAAAATATTACTCCCCCACTGTGGAGCCCCCAGCCACTGTTTCCTCTGCCAACAGCCTTCTTCCCTCCCTCCCTCAGGTAACTCCTCTACATCCTTCCTTCTCAACTGACACAGATTCCTCAGGAAGCAGCCCTGACTTCCCTGAAGGGGGAGCACCCCACCCCCCAATTCACCACCCAGTGATAATTCCTCATAGCACCATGTCCTTCTCCCTTGCCATCATCACAGCTGAAGTCTACAAATATATTCATGTGGTTACTCAGTTAACCCTCTCTTGTGAGCTCCAAGAGTGGAGAAATCATGTCTTCTTCTGACTGGGGCTGGGGATCTGTTTCTGAGATGGTGCCCTCACATGGCTGTTGACAGGAGGCCTCAGCTTCTCACCGTGTGGAGCTCTCCTCACAACATGGCGGCCAACCTCCCCCAGATGGAGCAATCCAAGAGAGCGAGGAAGAAGCCACAGTGGCTTTCATCACCAAATCTCCCGAGGCTTACATTGTTGCTTCCAGCTTATTAGAAGCACGTCATTAAGTTCAGCACACAATCAAAGGGAGAGGTATATAGCTCCACCTCTTAAAGGGAGGAGTATAAAACACGTTGTGGACAAATCTTAAAGTCCACATAAGGAACACTAACTCTTGAGGACTGCTACAGTTCAGAGATTGACCTCTCCTTGAGTGCAGAGAAGTGATGTGTGAGCAGATAAAATAGTATACAATTGTACCCATGTGGGTAATGTGTGTTAAAGAATGATGACCACTGACTTTGGTAGAAGACATATCATTACTGACTTTGACATTAGACGAACAAACTCTTTGCATTCTTACTATTTTCTTTGAGAATACCAGTCACAATGAAAAATTAACAGTCAGAAAATTAATCTTTCAACTGAGTGATATTTTCAGATAATCATATTGAAAAAAATCTTAATATACTTTACATAATTATTTAGAAAAAGTATTCTAAATTACTTTTTTTTTTTTTAATGTTTTATTTATTTCGAGAGGAGAGAGAGAGAGACAGCGTGAGCAGGGGAGGGTCAGAGAGAGAGGGAGTCACAGACTAGAACAGGCTCCAGGCTCTGAGCTGGCAGTCAGCACAGAGCCCGACGCAGGGCTCGAACCCACAAACCGCGAGATCATGACCTAAGCGAAAGTCGGATGCTTAACCGACTAAGCCACCCAGGCGCCCCTAGAAAAAGTATTCTAAACATACTGAATATCATATTTATAGTTGCAATGTGGGGTTTTCTTTGTATATTATTTACTAGCATATTGTATTTCCTGCAGTTAAGTATGTATGTAAAATATAAGTATTTCAACCTAGACTAAAGTTGCCTCAGAAACTCAGAAATTCTTGAGAAATCCTTTCTGGAACATTGGTTTTTTGTTTTGTTTTGTTTTGTTTTTTGTTTTTTGTTTTTGCATTCCTTTTTGACACTTATTTCAATCACCAGTTTCTAAAAATTACTTGTTAAGATCTGATTTGAGGGGCACCTGAGTGGCTCAGTTGGTTGGGGATTCTACTTCAGCTCAGGTTATGATCTCATGGTTCCTGGGTTCGAGCCCCATGTTGGGCTGTAAGCTAACAGCTCAGAGCCTGGAATCCACTTCGATGTCTGTGTCTCCCTCTCTCTCTGCCCCTCCCCCACTTGCACTGTCTCTGTCTCTCAAAAAATAAATAAACGTTAAAAAAATTTTTTTTAAAGATCTGATTTGACATCATGCTCTTCTTACAGCAATTATTCTGTACTCAGAAGTTTGGGCCAAAAACACATTTAATGTGTCCCTGTCCTTTCACATGTAGGTATCCTTAACCAGTTCACCTTCTAAACAGCAAGAAATCTTAATTAAATAACATGAACACAACTGTGTTCCTTCTCTAATATTTCCATTATACTTAGCTTCCTTTTCCTTGTCTTTCAAATAAAGTCAAGAATCATTACGTTACCTGTTATTGGGAGCGTCTCTGTTAGCCTCTTTGGGGAGAAGCAGCATTTGAGATAGATGTTATGCCAGAGTGACTGCTTCTGTGCTGATTTCAGAAGAAATCCTCCACTCTTCCTGTGTTTGAAATTTACTCAGCAGGAGTCACGGTGTTTTGCTCTGTGGTTTGTCTTAAGGTTAAATGAAAATGATTTCTAGTTGTGGGGAGCATCATAAGGAATGAACACCGTCGCACGCCCTTTGCCATTTCATCAGCACATCAAAGCTGTGGAGCATGATCATCAAAGTCTTTCTCCTGGGACAGTGCAACGGATAAAGTGACGTGACCAGCATGGTCCGTGTCGTGTTGAATATTGCTCAATGAGGAAATAGTAGGGGCCAAACTGAAAGTTTGGGCTTTTTATTTCAAAGTCCTGGAGCTTTCCACCATAACGAGCTGACTTCATTCATACCAATGTGTAAGTTACAGCTCTTGGCACTCTGCCTAGGAGCATTGTGGCATAAATGGGGAAGGGACCCCGACAGATGTCGGTCATGGCTGACTGAGTGTGCAGTCTGGGTCTGCTCAGGAGAGAGAAGCCACACAGTGGGTTAAACAGGGAAGCTAAACGTACAGAATCATTCATTGTGATGAAAGGGAGGCTGTAAGATTGAAGGAATCTCTTTGTGGTGCCCCAGCATAAGGGAGAAGACCCAAGGAAGGACAGACTTGAAGTTCAGATCTCGTTGGAGAAGGTGTGGATCAGCCCACTGGAGAGCAGGAAAAGTTCACCTTTTAGGCCAGGCTGGATGGAGCGGGGTCACTGGGGAGGCAGTAGGCCACCCTTGACACTGCACCTGGGGGAGCAGGGACCAAGTGATCAGCAGCTGGCAGTGTGGGCATGGAGTGAGGGTCTGAGACCCCGCAGGGGCCAGGGGCAGAAGGCCCTCACGGTGCAGGTTATGTAATCGGTGTGTGTTGTGACGGGGGCTTGTAGTGGAGGCTGATGCCGAGTGTGTGACCCTCCAGGTGACAGGCAGCTGTGTGCAGGCAGCACGTGGAGGGGCAGGAAACGGGGTCTGGGGGCCCCCATGGACAGGAGGCCTGGCGACGGCAGGATGTCTGGGGGCTCTGATTTCTGCATCAAGAGGCCTTTAAAGGTTATCACCATGTTATCGCAAAGTTCTGAAGGAACACAGAGGTCTTCTTTTGATTCTCAAAATGTTAAGAATTAACTCATCAATACTTTAAATGTTTGTTTATTTTGAGAGAGAGAGAGAGAATGAATGGGGGAGGGGCAGAGAGAGGGAGAGAGAGAGAATCCCAAGCAGGCTCCACGCTTAGCATGGAGTCCGATGGGGGGTTCAATCTCATGACTATGAGACTGTGGCCTGAACTGAAATCAGAAGCTGGACACTTCAATGACTGAGTCATCCAGGTGCTCTGATTCAGCAATACTTTAACTCATACTTATAAAACACTTATTATGGACTCTTTCAGCAGAAAAAAAAATTTTTTTAAGTTTATTTATTTTGAGAGCAAGAGAAATGGGGAGGGGCAGAGAGAGGGGAGAGAGAGAGAATCCTAAGAAGGCTCTGGACTGTCAACACAGAGCCTGATGCAAGGATTGAACTCACAAACCATGAGATCACAATCTGAGCCAAAACCAAGAGTCAGACATTGAACCGACTGGGCCACCCAGGCGTCCCCTCTACAAAAATTTATTGAACATTTGCTATGTGCCAGACACTGAGTTAGAGGCTACTATTTGCAAGACAATAGACCAAAGTCCACATAAAAAAAAAAAAAAAGACCTACATCTGGCCCTAAAGACACCTACAATTTGGACATACAGATCAATAGAACAGGATAGAGAAGCCAAAAATATAAACACACAAATAGTTCAACTAATTTTTGACAAAGTTACCAAAACAGTTTCATGGAAGAAAGATAGCTTTTTCTTTTTTTTTTTTCTTTTTTTAATGTTTTATTTATTTCTAGGAGAGAGAGAGAGACAGCGTGAGCAGGGGAGGGTCAGAGAGAGAGGGAGTCACGGACTCTGAAACAGTCTCTAGGCTCTGAGCTGGCAGTCAGCACAGAGCCCGACGCGGGGCCCGAACTCACGAACCGCGAGATCATGACCTAGCGAAAGTCAGGCGCTTAACCGACTAAGCCACCCAGGTGCCCCGAAAGATAGCTTTTTCAACAAATGGTCCTGGAGCAATTGGATATACATAAGACAAATAAAAAATAATAATAAACCTAAACTTCACGCCTCATACAAAAATTAACTCAAAATGGATCCCACGCTTGAACGTGAAACATAAAACCACAAAACATTTAGAAAAAAATGTAGGCAAAAATCTTCGGGGTCAAGGGCTAGGTGCATGGGTCTCAGACTCTACACCAAAAGGGTGATGCATTAGAGGAAAGTCTGATGCACTGCACACCATCAAAATTAAAAACTTGGAAGGCCAGATTAAGAGGATGAAAGACAGGAGGCCTGGAGTCTAGTGCAGCAGAAACACAAGCTCCAAGACTCCGTGTCTATCCCAGAGGCACAGGGAACGTGCTAGAACACAGAGGAGAAGGAGATTAATTTCAGCCAAGGGGATCTGAGGAGCCAGAGGAGGTGATAAGTAAACTGGGATTTGAAAGGCAAGTA